AGTGGCACAGGTCAAGGCTTACATGAGGGTATCGGCAGACGTTAACCACCCACTGCACAAAGCTTTACACGACACAAAAGGAACGCATCTCAGAAGCGGCCGCTTTTGGATGGCAAAGGCTGAGGATTTAATCTAGCAAGTATGTGACCTAGACGTGATCAGCCACGGAAAGTAATGGACGAATACACCAGTAGACATGCATGGCATCTCTAAGGTTGTCATCACACTCGGAAGGTACTGCAGGGATCAAATCCTGCTGCCGTAGACTCAGAAGTAAGAGAACTGATAGATCAGCATTCAGACCCAGAAGATACCATCATCTACACAGATGGATCCGTGAAGCGCGGATCAAGGTCAGCATGGGCATACACAGCGCAAGGAAAGAGGAAAACAATACAGCAGGACAGCGGCGCTTACCAGACAACAATGCCAAGCATGATCATGGACATAGCCGCTGCTTCTAGAGCTTTAGCATGGATATCCGAGCAAACCGCCACCCAGGCAGTTATTGTATCAGACTCCATGAATATGCTTTAGAAGATAGCAACAGGCGGATGCGCTCTGAATGGGTAGAAAGTATTCGAAAACTGAACTTAACCTCCATAACCTGGATCTACACACCGGGTCATGCGGGCGTAAAGGGAAATGAGCGAGCGGACTAACTGGCAAGCACTGCACTATTGCGGGAAAAAGCATAGACAGAGCAGATCTCGTCAATACTCTACGAACTGGGCTAGTGGATATTAGGAATCTCTGACACTAACACGATTGCGTGACATGGGAGTAAAGCACGGTGAAGCACGTCCTTGCCGTCTTCGAGGCCGAGATAGGAGACAATATAACCAGCTTCTTATGGGAACAATTAGTAGAAGTACTTTGGAGTGGCTGCTGCATCTGAGGACTGAGCACGCATGGGAACTTCCAACGTGCAGTTACATCTACTGTGATAACAGAAAATAACATAACGTCTTGTAGGGAGTCGGCAGTCCGAAAGTTCAAGGTGTCTCCTTCGTGCCAAAGAATTGCATCGCTGTTGGATGAACAGTCGTTAACGAAAGCAGTCAGGTCGTTGTAGCCAAAAGTGAGGGTACTGCTGCAAGACCGTCTATTAACCCTCACATAATGCTTCAGGTCAAAATGGACGCTAGGCACCGCCACTATTTTTAGCCGAGGCAAAAAAAAAATTTTTTTTTTCTTCTGCAAGACGGTGGCCAATGCATTTTTGCTCCATTTTTAAACTGCAAGGATATAGTTTCGTTGCCCAGCTTCTGTGTTTAGTGCATTGCGTGACACTGTGAGCTGCTGATTTCATTTGAACTGTGATAAACATTTTGTGTGTTTTTCGTTGGCACAGGAGCGAAGCAAGTACGGGTTGACCCGTTTGCTATGGAGCTGAAACTAAGATTACCAGGTTACCCGATTACGCACATTCCACGGACAGACAGACAGACAGACAGACAGACAGACAGACAGACAGACAGACAGACAGACAGACAGACAGACAGACAGACAGACAGACAGACAGACAGACAGACAGACAGGCAGGCAGGCAGGCAGGCAGGCAGGCAGACAGACAGACAGACAGACAGACAGACAGACAGACAGACAGACAGACAGACAGACAGACAGACAGACAGACAGACAGACAGACAGACAGACAGACAGACAGACAGACAGACAGACAGACAGACAGACAGACAGACAGACAGAGCGAGGGGTTGTCAACGCCTTAAGATTGACTGTGGATTTTGGTGGGTGGGGAAGGGGCTAGGGCCGTCCCAGATTCCGGCGCCTATGGGGTTTGCGGAGTCGACGAACGAAAGATAATACATACACTGGCTGACCTATTTACTCCCTCTAATGGCCTACTTTCCACTTGACTTCACACACTAGTTACGACAAGCGACATGTGTCACTCAAATATATACTTGATTCACTTAGACATTGGAAGGATAACACAAAGGCCAGTACCTGAAGAAACAGAATTAATCAAGTAACAGAAAGTGAATATATGGAAGAAACAGTAATCCACTGCACATTCCAGGTATGACGCAGTCTGCTCTACTTTCATTCATATCTGTATGTCATGTTATAACAGCCAGGGTGCTGTCACCTCTGGACGCTCGCATGCTATCCCGAAGTTCTTGTGTTTGAATTCTCGTTAAGTCAAAGTTTTTTTGTGCTTTTTTTCTTAAATTATTACCTTGGCTCCCAGGTCGACCCAGCCTAAAATGGCGGAGTCCTGTAAAGTAAATGCGGCTGGCGTGATGTTGATTATATCAACCATCGTGTGTCGATTACTCGATGAAAATAGAAGTCTATAATTAAATGTACGGTGCACAGTTGGTATGAAGGCGGCCATGCGTGATTGTTATAAGGATCAGGACAGGGCTGAGGTTAGCTTGTTTGCATGGTTATCAGGAGGACAGATGTTTGAACCTCAGTGAGGGGAGGATTTCTTTCCTAGAGACCAAGATAGCTTTGACGAAATTACCAAAATCCTAATTTGCAGGTCCAAAAGCCATGAACAAACTAAGAAGCAGGCAGTCATCATTTTTCGGCCATGTTATGAGAAGAAGGAAAATAGAACATGTTGTGACCACTGGAAAGATATGTGGAAGGAGAGATAGAGGAAGACAACGAGAGAGGATTCTTGACAGTCTTGTTGCATGGCATGGAGGTGTGTCGGCACACGAACTGATACATGCTACAGGAGATCGCAGATTATGGAGAGGCTTGATCGCCAACGCCAGTCGGCAAGGCACCTGATGATGATGATGATGAAAAACTATGCTGGGTGCCGACAAGACATAGCGAACCATTACAGAACAGCTAACGTCAGCGGCTGAACGATGAAGAAATCCAACTCCTTTTACAATTAATTTACAGATTTGCAGTAAGGATAATCTGTTGATTAACTAATTGTCACCACCAGTCTCCACACGCTTACAAATTTTGAGGAGGGGATCCAAGCATCTGTGGGATTATCTACGTACTGTAATGAATTTATATTAACTTTCAGGTTTCCTTCTGTATGCGGTCTGTGTAAAGCCTTACAAAGCAAAATAGGGAAGATTGTTGTATTACTACAATTGCAGCCGCAAGCAAGAACTGAACTCGTCCAAAGAACGTGATGTGCAAGGGCTCCACTTTGGTTACTGGCATAACCATCATCATCATCATCTGCGCTGTCGTTGAACCAGCATCTACGTCCGCGGAGCGCACACGAGAGACTCAGTCCGGACAACCCAATATTGTGTTTGTCCTAGCAGACGATTACGGTTTCCATGACGTTGGTTACCATGGTTCCGAGATACAAACACCCACACTTGATGCGGTAAGTTACCTCTTTCGATACTATGCCGATTTTACTTTCACTCATTTTAGCATAAGAAGTATTACCTTGAGTAGTAATTGGGTCTGTGGAATTACACGTGCATACTGTAATAGGGTAGTTTGTAATAGTAACTGAATGGGTCGTAAGAAGTTCAGACAACAATATTATTTCCGTTATTCTTCTTTTTCTTCTTTTTCTTCTTCTTCTTCTTCTTCTTCTTCTTCTTCTTCTTCTTCTTCTTCTTCTTCTTCTTCTTCTTCTTCTTCTTCTTCATCTTCGCATTCACCGGCTGTAAACTCCGGCGGAAAGTTATGGTTGTTGTTCCAATGCTGGACTACTCAATGCTTGCTACCCGTTTTACAGATTTGCCCTATTTGGATGCAGACCGTTAGTTCAGAAAGATGAACTCCGACTTCGCAGAAACATATATAATTAGTCGCTTTTTACGACATGCTTGTATGAGGGGTCTATTCTTGTTTGCCTCCACAGTGGTGCCCTGAACCCACTCGGGAGATGCCAGTTCAACCCAATACGAATGTAGTAAATTATTTAGTAATAATAAGTTCAACACATATAAATATTAATATGTGGCAAATCATCGGGCTCATTGAGAATACCATGATATTATTGCCGTACATGAACAACAAACATACTGGCATATGTGAGTATCCCATACTATCATGTTTATGTTGCACGTGTCTTCGTGTCACGTCGGCTGCTCTCCTTCCTTTGTTACTGTTGTGGATCAATGTATGTTTATGTTTATATTTACGTATATGTTTATTCAACGGACCAACATCGTGACACACGGGTGTAACCCATAAGTGCTCCGTTTTACTTCTAACTTAAGCCTCAGTCTGAAGATTCTAAGCGCAGTACACGAAGTCCTTTGCACCAGCGAGGATCCTGAAATACTTGAAGTAGATTTTTAACTTCATATTTTTTTCCGGGCAGCGCCGTTAGGCTACTTTTTTCGATTTCCAACAGTTAAAGTATTTTTTTACGTGTGCAAGAATACACACGGGCGTCCGATCTTAATACCCACAGACCATCAAAGCTACAAGGAGTCCACGTGAAAAAATTCCAGCCTTCACCGGGGCTTGAACCCGGGACCTCCAGCACTCGAGGCGGACACCATACCTCAAGACAACTCAGCTCCCTGTATGTGATAGTATTTGTCAAAATGGAAAAGAGGAATAGGTAGAGGGCAGGAAGGAGATAGAGACGGACAGACAGAGAGAGTGAGAGAGAGTGATGGGAAGAGAGAAGCAGAAAAAAAAACCGAGATAATGAGGAAGAAAGAGAAAGAGAGAGGTTCAGAGAGAGAGGTACAGAGAGGAATGGGTACAGAGAGAGGTACAGAAAGAGAGGTACAGAGCGAGGGAGACACACACAAGAGAGATAGACTGCTGCAACATTGTATTAGATCAGGTATAACAAACTAAAGGGCTCTGGCGTATTACGTATATAGGGCTAAACGTAATCTTATTTTCCAGTCAGCACTTGATGATGAATAACCTGGCTGCCTTTATTTCCTATGACATTTGTTGTAATATACTAACAGTACTTGTATTCTGCAACGAACATAGTCTAGATACATAAGTTTTGAGAACATTCAGAAGTGGCTAAATGCTTCTAATTCATTGTTCTACCGATCCTGTAGCTATCGGCCAGCGGGGTTCGGCTAGAGAACTATTATGTTCAGCCAATCTGTACCCCGACAAGAAGCCAGTTGTTATCTGGGAGATATCAGGTATGTTTATAACAGATTTTAGTTGATTTCGATTCATTTTATTTGATTTCAATACGCTGCAATTGACAGTAATGACGATTTAATATTCCTGTTTGTGAAGTTGCGAATAATACACCACTGCTAGCTTGCTAGGCCCGTCGCGTGGGGGGGGGGACAAAAACTGACCTGGTTGGTGCCGGTATCCTTTCAGGCGAACCATTGCCTGGTGAGCCTGAGACCTCACGGCTCCAGTTTTACAGCGTGCAGCACGAGGTAGTGAGGTGTTGATATAAAATAAAGGACCCTGTTCCACGCGTTAATGCGTACTGGGCATGTAGGGCTAGACCTATATTTTATAGACCAACTGGCATTCGGTGTGTGATTTGGTTATCATCACGCCGACTGTCTTTCTTTACCTTGTACCCATTTGAGGCTGGGTTGAACTGGGTTGAACTGGGTTGAATTGGGTTGAATTGGGTTGAATTGGTTTGATCTGGGTTGAATTGGGTTGAACTGGGTTGAATTGGGTTGAACTGGGTTGAACTGGGTTGAACTGTGTTGAACTGGGTTGAGCTGGGTGGAACTGGGTTGAACTGGGTTGAACTGGGTTCTAAGGTCATTTTTTAAAAGAAGTCCTGCTCTGTCGGGATCTGAACCCACAACCTTCCGATCCTATAGCGAGAGTCTAGTCGCTACACCACGACGGCCTTCAATTATAAAAAATAACTACCTCTAAATGCGCTCTCTCCTTGCGGTCACTGACAACACATGGAGTGACAGAGTTACGAGTACCAGCATTAGAGAGAAGGAATAAGACCATGTCTGAATTATATTGACAGACAAAGAATGAAATGGTTCAGTCATCTAGTAGGAATGCTACCGGACCAAGCTGCATATGGGAGATTTTACAGCAGAAAGCTTGGAGGAAAGCGAGAGGAAGACCAAGAAAAATATGGATAAATGATGTAGCAGTAACCTGCAAAAAACGTTGAATAAATCCATTATCTAAGCCACCCGAGAAGCGGAAAACATTGAGCTACACCCTGGTATCATTGAGACGACACAACCACGACACTGGGTTACAACCTGGTATCAGTGAGACGACACAACCACGACACTGGGCTACAACCTGGTATCAGTGAGACGACACAACCACTACACTGGGCTACAACCTGGTATCATTGAGACGACACAACCACTACACTGGGCTACAACCTGGTATCAGTGAGACGACACAACCACTACACTGGGCTACAACCTGGTATCAGTGAGACGACACAACCACTACACTGGGCTACAACCTGGTATCAGTGAGACGACACAACCACGACACTGGGCTACAAGCTGGTATCAGTGAGACGGCACGACCACTACACTGGGCTACAACCTGGTATCAGTGAGACGACACAACCACGACACTGGGCTACAACCTGGTATCAGTGAGACGACACAACCACTACACTGGGCTACAACCTGGTATCAGTGAGACGACACAACCACTACACTGGGCTACAACCTGGTATCAGTGAGACGACACAACCACTACACTGGGCTACAACCTGGTATCAGTGAGACGACAAAACCATGATACTGGGTTACAGCCTGGTATCAGTGAGACGACACGACACTGGGCTACAACCTGGTATCAGTGAGACGACACGACACTAGGCTACAACCTGGTATCAGTGAGACAACACAACCACGACACTGGGCTACAACCTGGTATCAGTGAGACGACACGACACTGGGCTACAACCTGGTATCAGTGAGACAACACAACCACGACACTGGGCTACAACCTGGTATCAGTGAGATAACAGAACCACGACACTGGGCTACAACCTGGTATCAGTGAGATAACAGAACCACGACACAGGGCTACAACCTGGTATCAGTGAGACGACACAACGACGATACTAAGTTACAGCCTGGTATCAGTGAGACGAAACAACCACGACATCTGACAACACCCTGGTATCAGTAAGACGACACAACGACGATACTAAGTTACAGCCTGGTATCAGTGAGACGACACAACGACGATACTAAGTTACAGCCTGGTATCAGTGAGACGACACAACCACGATACTGGGTTACAACCTGGTATCAGTAAGACGACACAACCACGATACTGGGTTACAACCTGGTATCAGTAAGACGACACAACCACGATACTGGGTTACAACCTGGTATCAGTAAGACGACACAACGACGATACTGGGTTACAACCTGGTATCAGTGAGACGACACAACCACGATACTGGGTTACAACCTGGTATCAGTGAGACGACACAACCACGATACTGGGTTACAACCTGGTATCAGTGAGACGACACAACCACGATACTGGGTTACAGCCTGGTATCAGTAAGACGACACAACGACGATACTGGGTTACAGCCTGGTATCAGTAAGACGACACAACCACGATACTGGGTTACAACCTGGTATCAGTGAGACGACACAACCACGATACTGGGTTACAGCCTGGTATCAGTGAGACGACACAACCATGATACTGGGTTACAACCTGGTATCAGTGAGACGAAACAATCACTATTTTGGACTACAACCTGGTATCAGTGAGACGAAACAATCACTATTTTGGACTACAACCTGGTATCAGTAAGACGACACAACCACGATACTGGGTTACAACCTGGTATCAGTGAGACGACAAAAGAAAGAAGGAAGAATCTGTAATTGTTTATGTTTGTATTTGTCGTTGATAGTCTTTATCTTCTGTCCTGTGCCCCTCTCCACCCTCTTGAAGGGAGTACAGGCCTTCACCTAACTCAGGCTAAGTGGTTTATCCTTCGCTATCGCATGCAGCTCACCCGCTGTCTTCCCTGTCCTTCTATCTTTACTCTCTAACTCCCTCCTCCATGTCTATTTTGGTCTACATTGCTATTACTATCTCTAACTCCCTCCTCCATGTCTATTTTGGTCTATATTGCTATTACTATGCCCCTCCGTGTCCCCGTGCAACGAGATTCTATATGGCGTTTAGAAGTTAGTCCCAATGTTCAAACAATTACATGTCAACTTCAGTGGAATATAAATGGATAAAATTATGTTTAATATCTACTTCATTCTAAACGTCAGGTCACCCCCTTCCGCCGTAATTAGATGTATTTTTAGCCTATTTATACAAGGTCTGACAATCAAGTAATATGACTAATTCCTTGAAAATTAAAATAATTAACAGTTGAAGATATAAGCTGTATCTAAGTCAAGATAAGCCCCTTGTGCATTGATACAGCAAGTGGCACGATCTAACAAACTCTGGAACGACCACTGTAGTTCTTTTGTTGTTATGGCTCTTAAAGTCGACGTTACGGTCCTTAGGATGTCATCAATACTATTAAAGAAGCGTCCTTTCAATCGTAACTTTAATTTTGGGAACAGAAAATAATCATAGGGAGACACATCTGGGGAATAGGATGGAAGGCTGAGAACAAACACTTGTTTTAAGGCCAAAAGTTCTTGTTTTTGATGTCTCTTGGGTACTCAACCCGCTGATGTTTTTGGTCATCAGACAACGAATGTGGTACAAACTGGCAAGCAACTTTCTTCTTGCCAAAATCTTGCCCTAAAATGTTATGAATGGTCTCTCTATTAACACCAGATTCATCTGCCATCATCCTCACACTAAAACGATGATCTTTTTGTATCCGTTCTCTGACTTTCGCAATGAGTTGCATCACTTGAAACATAAATTTGGTGTCCAGGTCTAGGTGCATTAGTAATCATTTCCACACCACTTTTGAATCGCGCAAAATCACCTGAAAATTTGTGTACGAGATAAACAATTAACCCCATAAACTTGTTGCATCAATTCAACTGTTCCATTGATGCTTTTTCTGAGTTTAAAAAAAATATATATAATATTAGCTTTTTGTTCCGTGCTGATTACGTAACACAGCACCTCTGACTAGGTCAATAAAACGGCGGCTTGTTTGTTGTCTTATCGAGCGGCGATGAAAAAGTGCCTGATCATAGATGAATGCTGCTTTTTTAGATCCCATGTTTTGTTTCATATATGGCATTGTTGTCTTGGCCATAATAAAATTCAGTCTCATTACTTAATTGTCGGACCTTGTAAAATACTATGATCCTGGCTGGACTGCCTATTAAGAGTTACACAGCACTAATTCAAATGCAACCTATGGACGTTTCAAAAGAGAGACACAAATCTCGTGTCTTGTGTAAATTCTAAGTGAGACGACGAATGTTGCGCTTAAAATATGGACACGCTCTGTAAAATCCTTGTTTTGACAAGTTGTGACAGAGGTTGCAAAGGCGTTACTTGTATTGCTAGTCCCTATGTTATTTCAGTTCAATCAGATGCCGTCTCCACAGTTAAGGTTGGCTGCAATGGATCTCCAACATGCTCTGTTTCTTGTCCTGCTTGTACACTCTCTCAGACTACTGCCCGTCCATCTCTTGATTTTTCCTCCCACTTGTATCGTTGCCTACCTCTTGCTTTTTTGCCTTTAGCCGTTCAGAAGTGTGTTATGTGTTATTAGAATGGTGCCGAAAGTTAAATTTGTTACATTCAAAAAATAAAAATGCCCCAAAAAAAAGTTACATAAATATTTCTCATCAGAGGTTACACGCTATTGTCTGTGTCCTAACAACAAAATAGTTTCACTTGAAGTTATAATAATTGTCCTCGTCCCAGTCCATCTAGTTTCACATAGTGCTAAAATAATAATCCTATATTTTTTCCTTTTTCTTACTACATCATACAAAGTTCTAAATTCCAGGTTCCATTTTTAGAGATTTTTCTAAGTGAAATGAGATGATGGGTGGGGAAGATTCTGGTTTCTTTTTTGGCTTTCTCAAAGTGCGTCATCATTCTTGTAAAATTTGAAACGCACTACGGGCTAGAGTTGCCTGTCTTGCTGTATCTATGTTTATTACCTAGTTCTGAATATTAGTCTTTGGTTTCATTTCCCTTGAAGATACACACAGGATTACAACATGGCATTATCACAAATTGCCAACCAAACGCTCTGCCTAACGACAGTCCAACTTTGCCTGACAAGCTGAAAGAATCTGGCTATGCCACACACATGGTGGGCAAGTGGCATTTGGGCTTTTACAAGAAGGAGTACCTGCCTTGGAATCGAGGATTTGATACTTACTTTGGTATGTTTTCGTTGTAACCTAGCTGGGTACGCTTTTTAACAGGAATTTACAGAAATACGCCCACACGTGTCTAGGCCGTTATGGTTTTGTTAGGAAATTTAAAAGGGGAGGGGGTGTCTTTAATCCTGAGGTTTTACGACCGCATGGCTAGTGCTGTCGCCACGACTGTTCAGATTTGGCCCGCTGGCCGCCAGTTGAAGAACCCCGACCTAGAGTGTTTTTGACGTGTCGTGTTGACAACGACATTCTAAAAAATAAAACATTATGACCTCACTGTTCGAGTAAATATATCCAAAAGCTTATCAGCAAAATTAAATTTTGTTTAAGTATTAGTATTAATCACATTGTTCTGGTTATTGGACAACATGGGTTTTGATAATAAACAATAAGTGTGGATTATAATATAACGGCCTTGATAACATACCCAAACACTCGAAGATAATTAGTATGAGAAAAATGTTTCTGTTATCTCCTTTTTTTTTGCCCCAGGTTATCTCAATGCAGCCGAGGACTACTTTAACCACAGAGTACCATGGAAAACAGTGCGCTACCTTGACCTTCGAGACAACAACGGACCTGTGAGAAATGAGTCCGGACATTATTCGGCTGACTTGTTTACCAACAAGGCTATTGATGTTGTTCGGTCACACAACACGTCAAAGGTAAAAAATACACACGACAAAACACACCCATGGTAAATTGCTGTGCCACACACTCACACACACGTCGTACAGCTCTCCACCAGCGGATGTCAAGGAAAAGTTAAATTCCAGAGGATTCTTCACTGTAGCGGGTTTTAATTCCCATATGGCTCATTCTCTCTCCACAGAACGCCTGCCAAGAGCGTCGCACAGAGCAGATACTCTGTAGCTCCAGTGACGATCGTCGTGGATCTGAATAAAATGTGCACTTGTTAACTGAACTACGCCGCTGTCAAACAAACCCACGACCTTCAAAGAGCATGGCAGAAAGCTTGACTACTTCGCCATGGGGTTGGTTCTGCAACGTCCTGTAAAGGATACGCAACTAACTTTAACTCTATCACCACACAAGAGTCTGTACCCATATCAAAATTAATTTGTAGAAAACCTACTCTAGGCAAATTTACGTCCAGTAGTTTGCCATTGCTTTCTGGACGGTCGGTTTTCTTGATACCACTGTCGTAACCAACGCAAGGAGCATGACCCTCAGCTGGGATCGAACCCGGCATCCCGGCATTACGAAGCGTTGATGATAGATTACACAAGAAAATATTAGAAGATTGGGTGCTTTCTTTTTAGCTGACCACACATAACTTCACACGGACAGTCCGGGGTTTTATAGGGTGGTAAGAGCCGGGTTTCTGTGTTTGTTGTGCTTTAGCGCGTTTCTTCTAAGGCCAATGTTTTCGCCCGTTAACCAAACCCTAACCCTAACAAAACTAAATGCTTAATACTACCACACCCTGAAATATTTGGCTGTCCCGTGACCTGTGGATTCTCCCTCTTTGTGGTCGACTAAAAAAAAGTACCGAAGATCAGGGGTGGGAGTGAGTGACGGAGAAGGGGCTAGAAAGTGAGTAAGAGTGGGAGTGTGTGTGTGAGAGAGAGAGAGAGAGAGAGAGAGAGAGAAGGAGAGAGAGAGAGATTTTCTTTAATATTCCAACTTCCTTGATGACGGATCACCAAATAACTGCTCCGTCCCCTTGTCAGTGGAAATCACACAGAATGTCCTTCACCCTTGTCAGTGGAAATCACACAAAATGTCCTTCACTGTCCCATTTGACAGCTAGTGAAAACTTGTCAGTCTTAGCAAAATCTGGAAGCTCGCACACGCGAAGTAAGTGCATAAGGCAGTTGTGAGAAAACTAACAGTCTCACACCAGAATTGCAGCTCACTGTTGATGAAAACGGTGAATTGCGAAAGCCGTCAAAGTAAGCAAAATCTATATCTAACAGTGTCTTACAAACTACTTAGCACAGTATCGGATGATGGAACCAATGGACTCCCAGTCCAGACATGGAGAATTTGCATCAGCAAACACTAGCTGGAAACATACATTTTCATAGTGGTAGCTGTCAGCCAGCGATATGACATAATGGAGCGAAAGTCCTCCAGAAGCGATTGAATGAGCAGTTGAATTTGTGACCATAAGTTACAGTGTGTGAACTGCTGTTTGAGTGAGTGTCTGCGTCAATGGTAGTTTAAACGAGTGTGTATGTGTGTGTGTCCGTGTGTATGTGAGGGAGAGAGAGATAGAAAGAGAGAGAGAAACACTATAGGTATGTGAAAAAGGTTTTGTAAATTACTAAGAAATTACTGAGGCGGTTTGACTGTATGGGAGTGTGTCTGTGTGTGTTTGTATGGGTGGGTGTGAGTGTGAATATATGTGTGTTAGATTATCACAGGATAAATCTTGTTTACAACATATCTCTGTACTTCAGGATAACGAAAACGACTCAATTTATGAAAGGAATGAACTAAAACGATCTTTATTTTGGCTTTCTTTTTCAGCCGCTGTTCCTTTACCTGGCCTACCAGTCTGTGCACGCGCCACTTGAGGTGCCAGAAAAGTACGTACGCAAATATCGAAACATCACAGACAGAAACAGGCGCGTGTACGCAGGTGAGAGTCTAGTCTGTCCACGTCTTGGGTATGATCAGGTCTTTGCGCTTTGTGCTGTCCTTCTGGGCACCGACGCAAAAAAAACATGGGTGTTGGGGCGTAAGAAATCCACTTCCACCCTTCCCAATCCTAAAAATTGTATTCTCAACAATAAAGGAAAAAAAGGGGTTGGGGGGGGGGGGGGTGTCATACCTTTTGATACCCTCTAACTCCTCTTTCAGTCCTATATAAAATTTAAAGGGATGCTCAGTTTAAAAGAAGCTAAGACGTTCCTTTTAATTATTGATAGAACTACCCTTTTAAAGTATTCGTTCACATATTTCGTGTTATTTCTGATTTATTGTTACGTTTTTTAACCACTCAGCATATTATTATTATTTTTATTTTTATTATTATCATCTTCAATGTGCTGAATGTCGAAAATATATGTATAGCAATATGCTTGAAAAAAATACTCAACGTCAAAGACTCAAAGCCACCCCAAAGGTCACAAAGAAGACCAAATCGAGTACTACCTATGGATGCGAGACCTGGAAACCACGAAAACTCTAGACACAAAATTAGACAGTTTTGAAAAAAATGCCTTAGAAGAATACTAAATTTCAAATGGTCCCCCCCCGAACCCAATACACAAATAAGTCAAGAATCCAGGCAAGAGTATGTGTCTAATTTTATACGAAAACGCCGCTGGAACTATGTCGGCCACGCCCTTAGAATGGATAAATCAAGACTTCCTTACCAAGCCCTCATTTGGACACCACAGGGGAAAAGATCTCATGGAAGACCAAGGGAAACCCTACGTAGAACTATCATCAGGGAAGGCTCACTCATGGGCCACTCAAACATCCAAGACCTACAACGGATTGCAACGAACCGCCATGCATGGAGAGTCATGACCTCTGCCCTATGCGCCGCACTCGACACAAGAGGAAAGACTAACTAACTAACTAATTGCGGTTTTTTTTTTCGCCATTCAACACATTATTATTATATTTAATATTATTATCGTCATTGTGCTGAATGTGGAATATATATATATATATAAACATAATGGCATCCGCCAGTCCCGGGGGACTATGGAGATGTGCCGCTGGCTTTGGGAACAGCATCTGATGTGACTGTAAAGTCCGATGCAGGATTGGCAGTCTTTGAAACACAGGATACACACAAAAGCAGATACTTCCTCGTTGTGAGGCAGTTTTACTCTCCGGTGCCTCCTCTCCATATATATATATATATATATATATATATATATATATATATATATATATATATATATATATATATATATAGCAATATACTTGAAAAAAAAATGTTTTATTTAGTAACTGTTTTTGAAGAGGAGAGCCAACGTAGTATAGTGGCTACAAGCTTACATGTGGATCCGAAGGCCTTGGGTTCGAATCTGAACAGAACCGGACTTGTTTCCTTAGTGACCTAAGACAATAATAATACCTATTTGGAAAAATAAAGGCCGCAATAGAGACCTTGAGAAGTATAGTCCCATTGGACATTTTTTTTTAAATTGTTGATTTCATTGTTTAATAGTATACAATAATTGTTCATCAAAATCTATACCGGTGTTATATGCAATGTCTAAGCCATTCAAACTTTTTAAAATTTACTTTAATATATCTAAGACAACATTATATACATTATAAAATAATGGCAGTATACTTTATAAAAATGCACTTCATCTCACACACCGACATGCTGCCATCTTGGTCTGAACAGCTAGCATCATGAACTACAACCAGCTGGCCTAATCAACTTTTTTAAACAGCCACATAAGACACACAGAACAAAATACATCACATCAAAGACTCACAAAACCCCCAAAGATCGTAAAGAAGACAAAATCGAGCCTACACATTAGATACCAAGCCTCCATCTGTTAGCCAAAGAAGAAAAATCTGAGCCTCCGTTATAGATCCAAAGAAAAAAACAAAACCGAGCCTCCACAAGTATCCACACAAAAATAAAATACTCCACACCAGACAGCATGAACATTTACCAGTGACGCAAAGAAGACAAAACTTAAGCATCCACAAAACCGCCAAGCCTTCACCAATGAGACAAAGAAGGCAAAACCTAAGCCTCCACAAAACCGCCAAGCCTTCACCATTGACAAAGACAAAACTGAGCCACCATAAATACAACGATGTGCTTGAGAGCAACAACAACAACAAAAACGCCAAGCCTCCACCAAAAGGTCACCTGCGGCTCCGTTTTGTTTTCCTTCTTGGTTCCCTATAATCCTTCACTAGCTGCAGCATTGATTCTAAAATACAATCTAGAATACAATCTGGAAATAGAGTATACTATGCCCTTCAGCATCTGCTAAAGTCAAAGTGTCTGTCTCGCAACAACATGATCAAAATATATAAAACGTTGAAAAGACCAGTCGTTCTATATGGCTCTGAAACTTGGAGCTCAACTTAAAGAGATGAAGGCTTATTACAGGTTCCCGAAAACAGAGTCTTAGGACTAATCTTTGGACCCATCAAAGATGCAGACAGCGGTGAATGGAGAGTGAGAAGCAACAACGAAATTCATAATCTGTTTAAATCACCGCTGATCACTGGTATCGTGATAGCTAATAGACTGAAATGGTTGGGACATATTGAAAGAATGTCAGATGACAGAGAAGTAAAAACTGTATACACGAGGGAGACCAAGACGACGTTGGAAAGATAATATCCAGACAGACCTGCAAAAACTTGGTGTTACCAAAAAGAAAGAAAAGGCTAACCAGAGAGATAAATCGAGGCGGGTGATATCGGCAGCAATGAACCTCAAGGGATCGAAATGCTGAAGAAGAAGAAGTACGATTTATTATCAAATAATTTACACGCTTTTAATATAATAAATTGACAAATATACTGAACACCGACAGGTATGGTGTCAGCCCTGGATGAGGGCGTAGCCAATTTAACCCAAGCACTGAAAGACAGAGGACTCTGGGACAATACCGTCTTCATATTTTCTACAGGTAGGTTGGCTCTTTTATCTTTTGGAAAACAGGAATGACTGGAACTTCCATCAGTAAGTTGGGGGGAAATTATTTACAGCAAGAGAGATAAACAAGACATTACAAATGTGAATCGTCAAATGTTATGTATACTTAATCCTTATGTATGGTGCAAAAACTACAACAATGAACAGGGAACTAAAAATCGAACTGAATCTATCGAAATGTGGATATGCAGAAGAATAGGTCGTATTTCATGAAAACAAAAAGAAATCGAATACAGAGGTTCTTGAAAGGCCTCAAAAAAAAATATTTTTAGATGGCATTAAAAGACGTAAAAATAGGATTTTAAAATTCATGCTGGGGAAAACGTTGAGGACAATAGAGCAAGAGGTAGTCAACATGATACCAATTGTGTGTGTGGTGGGGGGGGGGGGGGGGGAAGCAACATCAAAAGATAGATGATCATTTGTCTAAAAGAGTCTACAATCAAGACAAGAGACAGAGCATGTTGGATTTCCACTGCAGCCGACCTTCAGTGCAGAGACGGCATTTGACTGATTGATATTTATAGTTTTTTTTTTTTAATTTACAATGGGTAGATGGTGTGGGTCGGCTCTGTGGCTAAATCGATGAGAACGCTTCGTAATGCCGGGGTGCCGGTTTCGATCCCAGCTGGGAGCCATGCGCCTTGCGTTGGTTTCGACAGTGGGATCAGGGGGCCGACCGTCCAGAGGCAATGGCAAACTACTGGACGTAAATTTGCTTAGAGAAACCACACAACAGCCAGGGGCAGCTGGGGTTGGTTTTGCAACGTCCTGTAAAGGATACGCAACTAACAAGATGTTGTCGAGGTGAGCCTCTGCTACGATATGAAGATGACGCTTTCCATCTCAAACGCGTGATCTGATTGGTGTTGCTATGACCTAAATGTTTTGTATTCTAACAATTGACAGACAATGGCGGACAGGTTTATTCTGGCGGCAACAATTATCCACTTCGTGGCTGGAAAGCCTCACTGTGGGAGGGTGGATTTCATGGTGTCGGATTCGTGTGTGGTGGCGCCCTGAAACGTAGTGGAGCTGTTAGTCAAGAACTGATTCACGTTTCTGATTGGTTCCCTACTTTAGTCCGATTAGCTGATGGAAACTTGAATGGAACAAGGCCATTGGATGGTTTTGACCAATGGGATACAATCAGGTAACTTTCTTCTTCTTCTTTTTCTTCTTCTATTTCTTCTTCTTCTTTTTCTTATGTTCGTATGTGTTTGCGCGTCTGTGTTTTTCTGTACCTTTGACTGTATGTTCGTGTGACATGTCGCAAAGAGGAACATGCCACACAGAGAAATAGGCCACACAGAGAAATAGGCCACACAGAGGAACATGTCACACAGAGGAACATGCCAAACAGAGGAACATGCCACACAGAGAAATAGGCCACACAGAGAAACAGGCCACACAGAGGAACAGGCCACACAGAGGAACATGTCACACAGAGAAACAGGTCACACAGAGGAACATGTCACACAGAGAAATAGGCCACACAGAGCAACAGGTCACACAAAGCAACAGGTCACACAGAGGAACAGGTCACACAGAGCAACAGGCCACTCAGAGCAACAGATCACACAGAGGAATAGGTCACACAGAGCAACAGGTCCCACAGAGCAACAGGTCACACAGAGCAACAGGTCACACAGAGGAACAGGTCACACAGAGCAACAGGCCACTCAGAGCAACAGATCACACAGAGGAATATATCACACAGAGCAACAGGTCACACAGAGCAACAGGTCACACAGAGCAATAGGACACACAGAGCAACATGTCACACAGAGCAACAGGTCACACAGAGCAACAGGACACACAGAGCAACAGGTCACACAGAGGAACAGGTCACACAGAGCAACATGCCACACAGAGGAACAGGTCACACAGAGGAACAGGCCACACAGAGCAACGGGTCACACAGAGGAACAGGTCACACAGAGGACAGGTCACACAGAGGAACAGGTCACACAGAGCAACAGGTCACACAGTGCAATAGGTCACACAGAGAAGCAGGTCACACAGAGGACAGGCAACACAGAGGACAGGTCACACAGAGAAGCAGGTCACACAGAGGACAGGTCATACAGAGGAACAGGTCACACAGAGGAACAGGTCACACAGAGGAACAGGTCACACAGAGGAACAGGTCACACAGATAAACAGGTCACATAGAAGAACAGTCCACACAAAGGAACAGGTCACACATAACGTTTCAGTTACCGGATTTTCCGAAGTTACATCATTTTTCTTAATTCTACTTTCATGCATCAACCAATATTGTATTCAGTATTTGTCTCGCTGATGCGGATAATTCATTATGTGTGTTTGCCCAGCACTGAGGCCCCTTCACCTCGGGAAATTCTGCTGCACAATATCGACATCTTGCACCCAAAGAAGGGACAGCCCTTGTACACAAACACCTGGGACACTCGGGTTAGGGCAGCTCTCAGAGTTGGCGACTACAAACTGATCACCGGAGACCCAGGCAATGGCAACTGGGTCCCTCCACCAGACGGTCACCTGTACTTTCTACCTGGTGGGTCTTTTATTTCTGCATGTTCACTTTAACTGGGGTTTAGGTGTTGCGAACGAGCTTTGTAATGCCGAGGTGCCAGATTCGATCCCAGCTGCGGACGATTTGTCTTGCATTTAGGAAGCAATAGCAAACTACTGAACGTAAAATTTGCCTAGTTAAACCACAACATCCAAACATTTGCTGGGGTTGGTTCTGCAACGTCCTGTAAAGGATACACAACAATTTTTGTTTCAACTTAAACTTGGTTGATTCATTCATATGGAATTATTTGACACGATTACAAAACACAATGCGATGAACACACAGGGGACTTTGCGTTAGCAAACGAACAAGACAAACAAAACACAATATTAAAATGGAAAGGGCGCTGAAGACATAAAATTACGGCGTTACAATGAAACAGATCAGCCAAAACATTTACAAATTAACTAACAAACATGTAATTATTAACTGGTACCTGCGAACAATGTAGAGAATTGCAGTATGGTAGAATAAAAATCACTGATGTGGAAGTCTGGAAGGGAGCCAACCTAATTCCACTGAATCAAGATGTCAGAAAAATACGTTGGCGCCGAATATGGCGCTCGTTAAGAAAAACTGAATACAATAGAAAAAGAACTAGGATGACTTTGCACTCTGACTCACAGTGTTAAAGAAATAAAGCATATTTAAAAAGCAGATGGTGAAAAGAACAGGAAAGCGGAAGATCAAAAGATAGGGATGACAAGGGGGGAGCTGCATGTGATTGATGTAGAAGGATAGGACAATATGATTTGGGTTGAGAGTTTATAAACTACTGGACGTAAATTTGCCTTTAGAAACCACACAACAGCCAGGAGCTGCTGGGGTTGGTTCTGTAACGTCCTGTAAAGAATACGCAACTAACCTGAAGGTTAATACTCCATAGGTGGATAATGGGAAGAAAGCGGATGAAAGGGGTGGGCGCTGAGAAGAAGAAGAATAACGAGAAGGAAAATGTAATTGTTAATCTCTTAACATTAAACTTTAACTCAACTGTGATTATGTTTTCCCTGCTGCAGAAAACAAGGACCCAGATGATAAAAACGTCTGGCTGTTCAACATCACGGCAGACCCAAATGAACATAACGATCTGTCCAAGGAGAAACCGCTGGAGGTTCTCAGAATGTTGCAGATACTGGTACAGTTCAACAACACCGCAGTGCCACCCAGATACCCCCCGCCGGACCCCAGGTGCGACCCCGCTCTACATGGCGATGTCTGGGGACCATGGGAGTAGAATGTCTTCACAAACGGAAGATACAGTCAGAAGGAATGGATTATACAGTGCTGAAGAAAAGATAGCGGATGTGTTTTAAACAGAAGATATTCCCTTTTTACGTCCTAGTAATAGACCAGAAATGGACGTCATCATCCTCGCCATCATCATCATCATCCTGTGGTGTTTTATGTCACAGTCGGATCGCAGTTGATCCCACCGTATCCGTGTACCCTGTTCAATCCTTTCGATATGTGTGTGGAATAAAGTCCAGCAGCTCTTACGTCTCTGACCTCTGTCGTAATCATTATTCTTAGCCGGGACTCACAGGAAATTAACAAGGGAAAAGTGGCAAATCCTGTGCATACCCTGATCCCTTTATCTATTTTCTGGGCTGGGAAACGCGACTTGAGGCGATCAAAGTAAGTTTAAGAGTATTAATAATAATTTTTATTATTATTAAAAAAAAATAATAATAAAAACGATACTGTGTGAAGGCAAATATATATACTAATACATTCGAAGTAATTTGAAACTGAAATGTGTCAATAAATACTTGAGATAGAAATTTATACACATGGTTAATGAGACATTTATTCACATGGTTAATGAGACATTTATTCACATGGTTGATGAGACATTTATACACATGGTTAATGAGACATTTATTCACATGGTTAATGAGACATTTATACACATGGTTAATGAGACATTTATTCACATGGTTAATGTGACATTTATACACATGGTTAATGAGACATTTATTCACATGGTTAATGAGACATTTATTCACATGGTTAATGAGACATTTATTCACATGGTTAATGAGACATTTATACACATGGTTAATGAGACATTTATTAACATGGTTAATGAGACATTTATACACATGGTTAATGAGACATTTATACACATGGTTAATGAGACATTTATCCACATGGTTAATGAGACATTTATTCACATGGTTAATGAGACATTTAGTCCCATGACACGTTTTCTAAAGTTCCCTTTTTTCGCTCCCTTTTTCATGCTTCTGTGGTAAGGGATCCACGGACCTGAGACCCCAAATCACACTGTCCCATCCACGGACCTGAGGCCCCAAATCACACTGTCCCATTCACGGACCTGAGGCCCCAAATCACACTGTCCCATCCACGGACCTGAGGCCCCAAATCACACTGTCCCATCCACAGGCCTGAGGCCCCAAATCACACTGTCCCATCCACGGACCTGAGGCCCCAAATCACACTGTCCCATCCACGGACCTGAGGCCCCAAATCACACTGTCCCACCCACGGTCCTGAGGCCCCAAATCACACTGTCCCATCCACGGACCTGAGGCCCCAAATCACACTGTCCCATCCACGGACCTGAGGCCCCAAATCACACCGTCCCATCCACGGACCTGAGGCCCCAAATCACACTGTCCCATCCGTGTACAGTTCCTCTTAGACTTGCTCAGTTTCTCATTCCTTTTGTTTCCCATTTCAGTTGCTATTTTGTAAATCGTTTTGTTTTTACCGTGTGGGCTCCAAGGTCCCATTTTGGGGAAAGGGGTGGGGAGGGATACAGCACTTGGCTGCTCTGTTTTGCTGTCTGAGGTATTTAAAGCATTCTTCTGTAAAACCACATCTCCGAGGCCTACAGAAATTGTTTGGCCTGCCTACCGATAGTCCAAGATTCACAGCCATATGTTAAAATTGGATGTGTTTAGCAAGCAAGAATTCTTTTTCTTACTCTCCATGACAAGGATATATTGCATAAGATGTTCTTTATTTTAAAACATGCAGTTTTTGCCTGTCCTGTTCTCTTTCTTATCTCAGAAATGCATCTTCCATCTGATGTTATCCGTGTACCCAGATACTTAAATTTCGAAACTTGTCCCAAAATAACACAACTGACTTTTATTACACATTTAGGAATAATTCTTTTCTTTGATACCACCATTGCTTCTATCTTTCCATTATTCAAACTGAGGCCCATTCTTTCAATTTCTACTACCATAATGCCTATCATTTCCTGTAGTTCTTTCTGACTTGTTGCTATCAAGACTGTGTCATCAGGATAACTTAAACTGTTTATATTATGCCTACAAACCACAATTCCGGGCATATCAATTAAAGATCTCATTATATATTCATTGTATATTGAAAACAAATCAGGTGTCAGTACACATCCTTGTCGTACGCCCCTCTTTATGCTTTGAAATGTACCTAAACAGTTGGTAATTCTTATAGCTGCTGTTTGCTGCCAATACATATTCTTTATTATACCTAGATCTCTTTCATCAATGTTTAATTACTTCTTCATGTTTCACACAGTCAAAGGCTTTTGTAAAATCTATGAAGCATAAGTACAAATGAGATAGAAGACGTTATAACCAGATTCTCAACGCAATAATCAGTATACGTGCCTTAGGGTGGCTGCTACATCGGAGGACTGAACAGGTATGGAAATCCCTAAGGAGAAGTGGGGTCGATTGTGATAACTTAACACTTTGTTCTTCTTTTCCTTAAAAGGGCGCTTGGAGACACACGCATTATTTGGGACGAGCGGTCTGATTCGGATGAAAGCGCCCAGAAATGGCGCAAACACTAGAATTCAGTCACGAAAGTGACGCAAATAACCCAGACAACAAATATAGGCAGAGACTCTTAGCAGCCTCGGCTAGCTAGCAGCAGTCTGAAAGTGGTCGACCTTTTCATTTTTTTCTTAAAAGGACTTGGACACACGCACCGATCTTATGTATGGTTGTATTCATGTTAACATTAAATATTCACGGTGCCTACACAGTTTTGCTTTCCGCTTTACAGAGGACGTTCATAGAAAGTAGTTGCAGTGTGAACATACCATGTAAATAATTTAACGATTGTTGTTTTGTGATCACCTTAAACAGCTTTTGTTTCATGCTTCTTGAAAGTTGGGAGTTGTACAGTTCAATAGATATGTGTTGTGTCTGCTTCTGCATGCGTTAAGTTGCTAATGACTTCACCTGCCCAATATTTAATCAAACCCGCTTTTGACAAATCAAGGAAAACGGTGAGACGTGTTTTAATGTTTATGTTATAATGCTGTAGTTAACGTTTCTTCGGGAAGGGTGTCTTTTGGGAGGGACAAGAATGGGTGGAGAGAGAGAGAGAGAGAGAGAGAGAGAGAGAGAGAGAGAGAGAGAGAGAGAGAGAAACCACAAGAAAAAGGCTGTCCAGCAGTTCCTAAATATATGCTTTTAGGGAGCTTCAGCTCGATTCTTTCCCCGTGCCCTTCTGGTTGGGTTTGAGCATGGCGAAATACATGTAGTAAATACCTTTCAAGGCACGGGAACAATGTGAAAGAGCGAACACGACATCGTGAATTGGACCTAATAATGCAAAGCAGACTAGTCAGAGAACTGAAGGAGGGTCAACTCTCAGAAGAAAGGCAAGATGAACATATAATTTAAATATTGACGACAACGCCAAAATTTAATATATTGATGCAAAATTTGTGCAAGGTACCCAAACATCGGTACCAAAAGTACAGTTTGGCTCGACAGGAGTCATATAGTACCAATTGTGTATTAAAGTACCAACTTCGGCAGCTCTGGGCTGTGCTTGTTGGCATTGAACAGTCCATCATTTACCTACCTCGGTGTCTCTCACACAAGTCATTTTCCTAATGCAGAAGTTCCCCGCAACACAGTTTGGGAAGCGCCGAGTTTAAATAGTTCATGGTTGTTTAAACGTGGCAAGAATCGATCACAGTTATATAGCTCTAGTCGAACTGTGTCCATTTCCTAGAGTTGCGATTTCTGTGGATGGATGCTTTTTTGTTCGAATCCTTGTGCAGCCAATAGGACTTCAGTTTTCATGTTGTCTAGTGTGTCCGGTTGTTTTCGCTAAATCATTTCTCCATTTTAATGTGCGCCGAGCCATATCTGCTAATAAATATATTGCTTCTTATTAGTGTGTCACTGGGATTCAAATTTTCGCACCAAGTTTCTTCCGAATGCATAATTTAAATATGTTATGTGTTTAGTAACTTCAAAGCATATTAATGTCATCCCTTTGATGGATGCCATTTTTCGTTATTTAAAGCCCGGCTCTGACTCTTGCCAGGGGCCGCAACATAACCATGCCATAAATATGGTCTTATGGCTGAACGCGGTTTCTGGGACCTCTTCATGGGTGATCCTCATCCACATGGTGGTACTTTGTGTCATGGGGTGTTTATCGCTTGTGTGATGTCCTGGTGGGTAAAAGATAGATAGAATTTCAAAGATAATTTATTAAATCGCATTTATATTCCCAGGGGTTCAACACGAGATTAAATATTTCTGCAGATAAGGGTCAAACATTGGGAAATTAATGTTTTAAAAAACGGTTTCCTCAAGGAAAAATTTAATGTTAGTTATAAATTTGAAGTTGTTCTAGTAAGTCACGTGACTATCACGCACTTCCGGCCATTAAACGGACAATGTATCCAGAGAAACCACGTGATGCGTATTTGTGTTGAATGTATCCAGTTTGTGTGCTTGATTATATGTTTATAAAACTCTCCAGTAATCCACATAACGACATACAGCGAAATATGACTGGCAACAAATTGTGCAATGTTCTGTTATGCCAGCATTATTAAATAATAACAAATGTAGTTTCAAACAAGACAACAGAGTGAAAGGACACCGTTTGGGCTATGAAACGTATCAATAATTGACTGGATATTAGCTATGTATCAACATTTTAGTCAAATATTTTTTGCACAGTTTGTACGAGAGTCGCACTTTGAACAAGACTTAAGTCTCATCACGTGTTGTTTCCAACATACATCAGTTGGCACAATGTATCCAACCTTTGTGCTGTAAACTTCGGCTGAAAGTGCTGGTTGTTCGTCCACATCTGGACTTTTGTCTTGTTCCAGGATTTATGTAAAGGGGACGCAATAAACTTGTAGGCTGGCAGGAGTTTGGGAACCTGTTTTTCTGATGACCGTGGAGAGAGGAGTGTATAAGTTGTGAGCGTTGTTCCTGGCACTCTCATGTCTGC